CCCCAAAACCCCAAAACCCCATCAAATAAATTTGGTCCAATAATAGGGAAACATAAAATTAGAAATTACTATATTCATTCACTCACTTGTAGAGTTAAACCTTATGTTTTTTATCATAGCCCTGCTCCTAGCTACAGGTTCATCAGCTAGTATTTGCCTTTTCAAGCTAACATCTAGAACTTTGTTCTGTGGTTTGAGACTTTAGAACTGATAGTCACTGAACATTTCTCTCTTCTTTTAAATCTCTAAGAAACGCTAGCTTTGCTGCAACTCATCGTATTTCCTCTTCTGACTTAACAGACTTAAGTTTATGACCTCGTGTTTCTTCAGAATCATCTCCTAGCGGCGACGCTTTTCATCTATTATATCTGAGTAATTCAAAAATTAGTCCATAAACCTCAAGTTGTTATATTCTTTTCTGGCCTTTACATGCTCTTCAATGCTTTTATTTCTCAGCATTACTTAGTCCTCTATCTTCTAGTGCTTTTGCAGGACAGTCTAAGACCATGATTCCTTTTCTTTCATAATCTCCTCGTACTATTTCCTCTTTGTCTCAAGCTTAATAGTATTATACTGACTCAAGCTTTCTTATAGTTCCTTCCTATTATCATAAACCTTCTATGCCTTAGTCTTGACTTTTGAAATCTTTTTATAGCCCTCTTTCATGTTCTCTATTTCTGAACTAGCATTTTTGTCTATGATTAAGGTCCTTACTCTATTGTGCTTAAGGTTATATTGACTCCTAGATTCTCTAATTTGGGTCAGTGTCTATAGATATTTCTAACTCTTCTAATGCAGCTTTTCATCTATGATTTGCAGATGAGTCTACACTTCATCTTATTCTTATTTCTTAACTATATCTTTGAAAGTTTCCTACTCTTTCTCTTTCATCATATTGCCAATCATCTCTTTGAACTTAATTTTAGATAACTCGTGTTCCTGTTTTTCCTTTTCCTTCTATAGCTGCATTCGTTATTTCAAATATTCCTGATAGTCTTGATAAGCTTTCTTTTCCATATTCTGCTATTGTCTCTCAACCGATAGTAAAGCGTTCTTTTATCTTTCCTTTTCTTTTTGGATTCTTCTTTCTCTTTCAAACTCCTCTTCATTGAGCAGTTCTTTTAGTTTCATAACCTTGCGCCTCCTTTCTTTCAATTTATTCTCAAAGCGTTCTTTATCATCGTCAGCCATAGTATCCAGTTTAACCATTGCTGATGTCATTTTTTCTAAGTTAACAATTTTTTGATTGATAAATAACTCTGGGTTTTTGAAGTCCAAATTTACCTTAAGAGGAATATCTGGCTCTTTATTTACTACTAGCTCTTTATTTTCTAGCTATGAATTAGTTTTATTGAGTTTCTTCTCGTAAATAATGTGGTTTGTATGTGCTGATTACTCATAGGGATTAATAATATCTGAGTTTTGCATAGGCTTCAAAATGATATTCTTAAATGATACTCTATCAGTTGTCATCTGAGTAGACGATGATTCGTTCACTTAAGTCATAAAAGCGACTTTATTCCTAGTTTCCAATTGAGAATAACTTAAGTTTTTCCTGTGGGAAGCTGACATATTGTTATCGATAGACCCCCTAATGTAAGGACTTCGAATGGTCTTTGGTGAGAGATTTCCTTTAGCAGGAGAATAAGGATTCTTGTCATCATAATTAAGGCCCTTTTCCTTTCGTTTTTCTATCAGGATCTCTTTAAGTTACTTAATTTTAGCTTTTTTCTTTTTCAAGTAATACTAATACCTTGCCTGTGTAATTCTCTTACTTTGAGAATCCTAATTAAAATCTTCATAAACCCTATGTAATCTTAATCAGTCAGTAAATTAATTACTTAGTTTCTAAATCCTTTAATCTTATTTTTCTCTTTTACAATTCAAAGAAGAAATCGTTCGTAGTATCGAATTCTGTTAAAATAGAATCAAGATTTATAAAGTTACCATTTCTAATAGACTATAGCAGCTGATCCTAAATTATTGCAGCATTAAGGGATTTCATATTCTCTTCACCAGCAGCTAAATTGCATAAAGCCATTCATTATTTTACCTTTCGACGAATCTGTTGGTTACATAATAGAATTATATATAATTTAACTAATTAAAGCTGTGATTTTGGTATTCATTTTTAACTCTTTGAGATTATACGGGGTTTTGGGGTTTTGGGGTTTTGGGG